AAGCTCACTCACTTAAAATTGTTCAGTTTAGAGTTTTCACGAAATGTAAGACCACCAAAGGTTGCAAAAACATTTCGAGTATAAATATTAAGAAAAATAAAATAGAATTTCCAAAAATGATTTTTTGTGTGTTGGTTACTCCATAGCAACATGAATAATATCTGTCGGCTTGATGCGCTCTGTGGGCAGGGAACGGCTTTAAGTGCTATGTCAACAAGCAACCCACTTAATCCATAAACGGAGGCTAAGAACGCATCTATTGGCTATGAGAAAACAATATCGCTTCATGCAACAGAGCCCACTGATGATGCTCTTTGGGCGAAAGCCGATATGATGTTGAAAGCTTTTAGAATGGATTGGCGTCTTGCAAAGTTCGATTGTCCATTACCGGGATCATATTTGAGGATGTGAAGGTCTTGCTTTCGATCTGTATGTTTTCCGTGAAAGCTGAAGGTAAAGAGTCATTGAGAACGATAAGTTACCTCCCCTTTGTCTCGGGTTCCGGGGAGACGGATAAGAAATCTTATACTCAAAATGCACTCGGGTGCAGCCCTTTTCAGTTGCACTCCCGAATTCAAGGCGAATTTCATAGATACGGACAATTGAAAAATATTTTTTACAAACGCTTTCTTTTTACTTCTTTTTAAAACTAAAACTAAACTCACTCACTCATCCTGAACATCCTTAAGTATTCAGTGGATGTATTATCCTTCTTGTACCTTGTACACAGAAAACGTGATTGGCTGTATGAAAACCTGACCAGTTTCTTACTTTCTTTGACTCTTTTATTTACTCTTTTAAGTTTGTTTTAAAGAATAGATACATTTTGAAGCATGTCTATTCGTTGACAAATGTATACATGATACATTAGCATAGCTACAGAGCTGAATTATAATGCACATTTTACTTACTTAACTTACATCTTGTAGTTCCAGATAGACGACGTGTAAGTTAGAACTACCTGATTTCTAATCTCTCTGAAATGGAACAAAATGGCCAAAGATTGGTTGACTTGGTTCACACATGTCATCGTATCTCCGTTGCGCAGATCGATGCTCATGATGTTGATCACTGGATTGTATGGGCCAGACTCAGTTATTTACAGGCAGCCTCTATATAGCTGGACTATGGCTGAGTGCAGCGTTACAGAACAAACCAACTAACCAATTAAGATAAGGTCAAGTGAAGAGCCGGGCTAGAACTGGACTGCAACAATCTATGCGTGCCGTTATAAAACTGGTTCGCTGCCCAGTTTGGTGCATGTCACCGTATCCCAATTGTGTAGATCGAATCTAATGATATTACTCACATGACTGCCCTGTCCAGACTCGATAATTTACAGACAGGGGCCATATAACTGGCATATTAATAAGTGCAGCGTCGAATAACAAACAAACCCACGACAATTTTATTTTTAACTATAATGAACCCGTAAGGGACCGTTCATTATTTATGGCTAGTGGGCTGGGTGGGTGGGGTGATGATGATTTTTATGGAGAAGCATGTACAAAATCAATGACCCCCTCCCTTCCCATAATATCTAAGCATAATTTTAGACATATTTTAATGTACAAAATTTCTCAAACCCCCACCCCCAGCTCCCCAGAACAAAATGGATGACCCCCTTAAAATATCACACACACACACACACACACACACACACACACACACACACACACACACACACACACACACACACACACACACACACACACACACACACACACACACACACACACACACACACACAGAGAGCCATAAATTATGAACGGTGCCTAACTTTAAAGTGGTTAAAGCGTTCCGCCGTCACGCCGGAAGCCCGGGCTCGATTCCCCACATGGGTACAATGTGTGAAGCCAATTTCTGGAATCACCAGCCATGATATTGCTGGAATATTGCTAAAAGCGGCGTAAAACCATACTCACTCACTCACTTGTACCCGACATCAACCATCAATGTCAGGATTTTTCGCCTGCAGCTCAGATGGCCATACATAAAGCACATGCGAAGTCCACAAAAGTTAACGCCGGTGCATGGTTTTGATTGGGCTAATAATAGCAAACTGCACATAAACTATCCTCACTTATAATGTCAACCAGCTCAGCATACACATGCCATGTAAAGCAGTTGCATTAATGCATGAAACAGAAAACCCAGCATGGGTTCTAATTGACGCAAATCTTTGATGATGGCTCTTGTGTGTAACCGGAAGAAGGGGAAAGCAGTGGACTTAATAAGCTCAGTTAACGGTCTAGGTGATGGAGGAATATAGGTGTCTAGACACTAGGTATGTCTCGTGCTGGTACGGTGCTCAGAAAACTGGGATGCACAGTATATCAAAACTGCTATAAATCTATAACAAATGGCATAGGAACGGCGTTATTCACCTAAAATGATTCAGCCAATTGATGTTTTGTTGAAAACATGTCACTAAAATAATCAATTACATGTGTATTATTTGTTTGGCTCATCGCAATCAAATAAGTATGGCTTCAAACAGGCATGTCCTCTTTATCTAATGTCCTGGGCTCCGATCCACAAAGCGTTCGTAACATTACGACCTGTCGTAACTCTATATAGTTTATCACAGGCTTGTACCGATGACGTAGGGCTACGAACGCTCTATGGATCGGGGCCGTGGGCCTCGTTCCTCAAAGCGATCGTAGTGCTCGTAAGTCTATGTTAAAGTATGGGAGTCACGATCACCTTAGCGCTACGACTGTCGTAAGTCTATGTTGAAGTATGGGAGTCACGATCACCTTAGCGCTACGACTGTCGTAAGTCTATGTTAAAGTATGGGAGTTTCACGATCATCTTAGCGCTACGACTGTCGTAAGTCTATGTCGTAAGTGAAGTATGGGAGTCACGATCATCTTAGCGCTACGACTGTCGTAAGTCTATGTTGAAGTATGGGAGTCACGATCACCTTAGCGCTACGACTGTCGTAAGTCTATGTTGAAGTATGGGAGTCACGATCATTTTAGCGCTACGACTGTCGTAAGTCTATGTTAAAGTATGGGAGTCACGATCGTCTTAGCGCCACGACTGTCGTAAGTCTGTGTTAAAGTATGGGAGTCACGATCACCTTAGCGCTACGACTGTCGTAAGTCTATGTTAAAGTATGGGAGTCACGATCACCTTAGCGCCACGACTGTCGTAAGTCTATGTTAAAGTATGGGAGTCACGATTGTCTTAGGGTTACGATCGTTTTGAGGAATGGGGCATTGGTCGTGTCTGGCTCTCACTTGAGACTTGCGACACTGAGCTATATAATAGTCCTTGTAAGTAATATAATATTCAGGTAAATGAAACCGAGTTGTTTTATTAGTAGTTCAATTTCGTTTAAGCATTTTTTTTAATTTTTATTTAAAAACCAAAAGATCTTGAGAAGAAAAATCGTCATAACGACATCGGCATAGCGTGTGCAGAGATACGAAATGTATAATACACTTTGTAAAAGGAAATAAATACTCAGCCGTTAAAATCCTGACAGTCTGTTTATTGTACTTGCACTACATAACCGGATTGTGTACCAAAGACATGTTACATTCTACATTGTCCTGATAAAATAATCATCACACGGCACACGACGGGTCGCGCGATGTTTTGGACATTTTTATATCTTCCATTGTCATAAAACTGCAGGACATTTGTGTTTGACATGCGAAATGCAGGTAGATCAGTTTTGCCGTTAGTGTAGCCACTGACCTTGTTTATGATGGTATTGAACAAAGATTTCAGATTGGTGCATGTTATTTCTATCATAAACTGTTATCGTTGCCCCATAATCTGATCTTTCCAGTTGTGAAACACAGGCACATAATTTGAGGGGAATAACAAAAAATAACAAACATAAATGTCAAAGAGACAAGAACGTATTGTAAGGCATCATCGTATGATAAGACCGTGAACTATCGACGATTCCATGTGGGTATTATAACATAGGGGTTGAAAGGTCGTGTGTACTGTCAATTCATTTGCACATGTTCATCTCAGGATTCCCATTTGGCAGACTGAAGCGATATTTCAATACGTCATGACGTCATCCACTGGTGATGGCACCAATAACAACCCCTATGTTGAATTTATTGACGTTTCCTTTTGGGGTTGATATATTTCGGGGTTCTCCAGTTTCTGTCCGTCCCCAAATAGATACATTGTCTGTTGCCAGTCCCTCCTCCTAGCATCACTGAAGAACGTGGTGGTCTGTGGTCCTGTGCATTGGGGTCAGGTCACAAATCAGTTGAGGTTAAGCAACGTAAAGCGCGGAGAGTCTTTGGATGGGTCACCGTGTTTGGCAGCTTTACTCTTGAGAGTTTCTAGGTCGTCAGTCCTGCCCCACAACGAAGCACACGTGACACATGTGGTCTCACCTTAAGCAAGTGAGTTTGTTCAAAATTGTCTTTGTTCACCAGCAGAAAATGGGTACCCGGTGGGATAAGACATGTGGCTATTAACCCTCTAGCACCTCACAGGCAGCTTGGGGTACCCGGGGTAATAATAATCAGCTTGGTAGCGTTATGGGCATTCACCTAGTGAATGGAGTTTAGCGCATTAGAAATGATGAAGATAGGGGTAAAGACTTAAGTTAAGTTTATTCACTCATTCATTTAAAATAATAAATGGCTAATATTTCGAAAAAGACAAACCCCAAAACCATACAAACAAAAACTCCTCCAAAACCATACTCGAAGTTACAGACTTTCTTTTCCTACTGATATAAATAAGTCCTTGCAAAAGGCTCATATTTCATTCGCTGGTAAAGGTACTTGGTTACTGCTTATAGCTTGTTGGTTATCCGCAAAGTGTTCTCTGTAGGATTCAAGGGATAAGATGAATCGTTCTGTTCTTGTTAAGAACGTTTCTAGAGGGGTTATATGTACCGCTGTGTCAACAACTACGGAGCCATTGCACACTTAGAACTAGTAAGCCACCTTTGTGTCTGGTACTTGGCGATACAAGACACAGGCGGCTTGGCATACAGTGGTTTCGCATCGTTCTTATTTATTTCCCTTCCCACCTAACCCACACAAATTAGAAAGATTTTGTCTTCGCAGTATCATGCACACATGTTCAGTCTAAGTTCCGGATTATCATTTTATGCCGAAAGATGTATACCTCGGCTGCACGATCTGCTCGTATTCGCCAAACAAAATCAATATTATGGGAATTGAAATGTAAACCGTATTTATGGTGTTTTGTAACGATGTGTTACTGGGAAAGATGAAACCTTTCTCCCGGCATTTCCCAGCCATAATTGGATGTAATGCTTCGCCTGTGGTACTGAGAGCGTCTCACATGTGTCAGTATTCTGGGCAGGGCAAAGCTTCGGCGTTACCATCAGGAACCCTGTGGACATGTTGTCTCGTAATCAGTCACAGCAGAGGGTCACATATACTCCACAAGGTCCCCGGGAGGTCGTCGTCGAGCAGCCATGTCTCCCTCGGCTTTGGTGACAAACGCGCTTGGAACTTCAATGTGTATTTGTTAAGATCAGGGAGAGTTCCGGTCAAGAATATACGTCTCAGTCAAATAAATTGATCGGTGGCCAGGCTTTGTGACTTGGTGAACATCTTGTCATCATGCTACATTGGCGTGGGTTGATGCTAATCATGTCAGTCACTGGATTGTCCAGCCTGGACTTGACTTTACAACAACCGTCATGTATGTAGAGTGAGTGAGTTTAGTTTTACGCCGCTTTTAGCGATATTCCAGCAATATCACGACGGGGGACACCAGAAATTCACACATTGTACCCATTTGGGGAATCGAACCCGGGTCTTCAGCGCGAGGAGCGAACCCTTTTACCACTAGGCTTCCCCACCGCCCCTCATATATATGGCATCCAGATTCATATATCTGGAATTTTGTGTGGTCTTAAACAATTAAAGAACGACCGGTCGAAATAGTTTTTTGTGAGATTGAAGTCGCTTAAAAGGTAATCTTCGATCAGCCTTTTAACAAATGGTTTGAATGTGGCGCTTTGTAAAGTGAACAGTAGCTCCAATCATATGCACGTAATTGTTTGTTTGATAGGTGTTGCCTTGTTGTTATACCTCTGAAGTGAACCCGTGAACATCCGGGTTACAATTGGTCTTCAGCAACCCATGCTTGTCATAAGAGACGACTAACGGGATCGGGTGGTCAGGCTCGCTTCCTTTGTTGACACATGCCATTGTATCCCAACTGGGTAGATCAGTGCTCATGATATCAATCACTGGATTGTTCCGTCCAGATTCGATTATTTACAGACCGCTGGTATATCCCTGGAATAATGCTTTGTGCGGCGTTAAACAACAAACCAACCAACCAACCTCTGACGTGTGTAGAAAGTGATATCCAATTGTTACATATTGAGGCCACGTGTTACTTTAGGTCTTAAAGCCACTTGGTGTGACTCGATGATTACCTTTAAAATAGTAAGGTGAAGCTCTGCGTATGTCGTTACCACCTATAACGTGTGGCTAAATTCAGTCACGCTTCCTGCTTACATGGATTAGTTGTGGCAGTAAAAGAGGGTCTGATCGTGCTTCCAGTGCCAATCTAGTCCTTGACCTTTTGCTGAACATGTGAAACTGAGATAGAGTGATAGACGCGTTAGATTGAATGACAACTTACCATGAATCAATCATCACAGGGCTGACATTTTCATAGAAAGTTTCGGGGCGGTGGGGTAGCATAGTGGTTAAAGTGTTCGCCCGCCACGCCAAAGGCCCGGGTTCTATTTCCCACATGGGTACAATGTGTGAAGCCCATTTCTGGTGTTACCCGCCATGATATTACAGGAATATTGCTAAAGCGGCGCAAAACCATACTCACTCACTCAGTTCTCCAGTGATACTAGACCGATGGAGTGGCAACGGACAATGTACCTACTAGTATTTGGGGACGGACAGAAACTGAAGAACCGCGAAATATATCAACCCCAAAAGGAACCTTCACTGAAGTCATTCTTATTGCTATTCAAAGGGCGTTGCTATCTGCTATGATACTTGTTTGTATCGTGTTATTGACGCCCTCCATCTATATTACTGCAGTCTGTAAATATTCATTTCTCGAAAAGACAATGGAACCCAGTGATCGATATTATGAGCAACGATCCGATGGCACGCATTCGACTAGGTCACTGAGCCTGACTAGCGCTCCCATCTTCTCTCCTCCCATCTCGCGATCCAATAGCCTGCCTCTCAACATCTGTATAGGCTGACTGGCTCTGTTCCAACCCGGATTCAACGGCGTGAACTTCTAGGAGGGTTCTCACAGGAGTTGTCAATACTCAGAAGGCTGTTATGGTGTCAGTGAAATCAACAAGGCATTGAATGGTTAAATGCATTGTTTGATTGTCATTTGTCTTGCTCGACAGCGGTGTAAGGATCTATACCAAAACGTCACTCTTTCACTATAAAAAGGAAGGTGATGTCTAAACATTTGTATACTGAGGTATTAAATGGCAGAAAACAGGAACATCTATTGATTCTTTATTTTGCTTCTGTTACGTGCCGATGTCCGAACTAAAACAATAAGTTATCGGAGAAATCAATACGCAAAATAACTCTGGATGAAATCTTGAAACAACAAAGAAATGCTACACAATTGACAACTGTATAATTCACTATGCTTACAAATCAATACAAATTGCTTCAAAGTTTTTACAATGGCATTAAGGTATAGAGTGGTAGTACAAAAGTCATTGGCAGCCTGGAATGATTATATTTCATAGCAGAAACATCAGTGGTAATAATAAGCACCTCGTACCAACAGTGATCAAGTTTCCAAGTTGGCTGAATATCCCTGTGCTGCCCGTGAGGCGCTAGAAAGTTAAGAGGCATTTGACTTATCCCACCGGGTACCCATTCAATGATGGGTGAACAGAGGCAATTCATGAGCAAACTTCCTTACTAATGTGAGACCACGTGTGTCATATGTGCTTCCTAATGAAGTCCTAGAAACTCTGAGGATTCAAGCTGCCTCGGTCATCCATCCAAGGACTCTCCGCGCCCAACGTTGCTTAACTTCAACTGATTTGTGACCTTGGACTCTATGCACAGGACCACATATATAGCACATGACTTACATAGTGGATTATTGATGGGACATATGTCTTAACTATTCCATAACAGCAAGCTGTATTTAAACATTAAAGATCTGTAACATACCGAAATGATTGTTTTTTTAAATCCAAATTATACAGATGTGGGTCCAGTCGCCCAAATTCGCTGACCAGAGTTACGATCATATACTGACGGAAACAAGTAAGGGAACAGCACTTCACCTCAGTGTTCCTCTATCTATTCTCAGTTTAGCACCCACAGTGCGATACAAAGCTTGTGAAGAAACCTGGAAAAGAAGAAAGGAACACTTTTGTTTTCATGCGTTCCCTTATCTGTTTCCCTCAGTATATAAGGGTGGGTTTGAATATCGTTTCACCCCGATTGTGTTTCAAGTTTTGCATTATGATACCCATGCTTGCGGGTTTCACCGAAGTGGTAAACCTCCGAGACTTGCATCACTTTGAGGCGTCCCCCCAACACAAAGCTGTCGCATCAAAGTTTAACTGGAATATTATTCAAGCTGGGTTAAACCTAACTCAGTCACTCACACACCCACACACCTATCGACGGCTAACGTTTCCTTAACTTCGCCTGATTTGTAACCAGTGTGCTCTGTATAGGAATACATGCCATCAGTAGACAGTACCTTAGAAGACAACATCCCAGTAGCACCAATACATGGCTTTATGTCTGAGGTCTTGGGTGCAGTTGTACAAAACAACTATAGTTGTAAGTCTATGTTAAGGTATGGGAATTACGATCACCTCAGCGCTAAAATCGCTTTGTACTACAACATCCTGGACCCATTACGGTTGGCGATAATGAGAAATAAACATTTTCAATGACATCTTTTCATTCGGCAAGAGGCAAACTGATGTAATGGTTTGAGTTCACCGACGCCATGTATAACTGAGAGCGTATGTTTGTCTTGTGTACCTGTCACCGAACGCGGCAATGTTGAAGCTACATTACAAGTCTGAACCAGGCAAACCAATGGTTGATACAATGAGCATCGTATCCGTGTATGAACCGCGTGTCTGTATCAAAGGTGGGTAAGCGGGACGCGCTTGAGAAGAAATGGGGTTCACGATTGTTGTCCTCAAGCAGTTGCCTCGAGCAGCTGATTCTCAACAGTCGACCACGTCACAGCGACAAAAAACGTTAACTACGGCTTTGATACCGGCGATACCTCAGTTTAACGTGGATAAGGGGCGGTGGGGGTAGCCCAGAGGTTAATGCGTTTGCTCCTCACGCCGAAGACCCGGGTTCAATCCCACCAAAAAACTATTTCGTCCGGTCGTTCTTTTTTTCGCCAATATTCAGATATATGCATCTGGATGCCAGATACAGTACAACCAGAAATTATTATTCACTAATTACTCACGTATTAAATGTGAATATTAGCAGAACATAACTCCAGATTCAAAGAAAGGTGAACAGCTAGTATTTTGTCAAGTCACCGTGGGCAGCAATGCAGACTTCAATGCGGCCGGGCATACTTCTGATCAAAGAAGTTAGAAAGTCGTGCGTGGTCCATGCTGTCCCAATATCGGACCACCTCTTCTTTCATTTCAGCAATATTTGTCAGATTTTTCTTATTGACACTTTCCTACATAAGTCCCCAAACATTTTCTATTGGATTTAGGCTATAGCTTGGCCAATCTAATAATGTCATATTTTGGGTCCGAAACCAGGCCTGTGAATGCTTTGAACGATGTTTTGGGTCGTTGTCCTGCTGGAAAATCCAAAACTTTCCATCGAACACGTGAGCAGATGGAAGTAAATGTCCCTCGAAAATATCTGTGTACTGCTCACTGTTCATATTCCCTTCAAATACACAGAGGGGCGTTGCCCCTAACACAGATATGCCACCCAACACGTTAAATTTCGGACTGTACTTGGGGCGCTGATACAAAGGTTTTTTCAGTTTGTTTGGTCCAGAATTTCAGTGTATTAGGAAACAGACACACAGAACTTTCATCTGAGAAAATCACATTGTCCCAGTTAAAATTTCTATGCTGTAAGCACCAGTTCAACCTTTGCTCCTTTCGTTCAGGTTTCATGATCGGTGATGGAATTCCTCAACTTTTCTGCCAACCCATTGCATGCAGCTCAGTTCTAATTGTCTCCTTTCAGACAGCCACAGTTCCTCTATCAATCATATCCAGCCTTAAGTTTTCTAAACTCCTTCTTTTGTTTTAGAAACAAGAATACTAAGCCGACAGTCAATTTTCTTGGTCTACCTGCGCCTCCCTGGTGCTCAATGCTATATCCATTTACAATATTTTTCAAAACACGATAAACAGTGGCAAAGGGATGCCTGTTCTACTTGAAATCACTTTAGCTGATCTGATGTCCTTGTTATAATACTCTAAAATCAACTTCCCTTCTCTAAATCGTCCATACTGAGGATCACTGAAAATGTCGTCTGCTAGCAAGTAAACAAAGGGGATAACTCTTCACAAAAAACTAATGAAAAGGGATTAACGGAGTTCTCTCTTGAATGAAACCAAGCACTTGAAAGCTGGTGAAGGTTGTTTATACTAGAAATCCAATTAAACATATTCCTAAAATTCTCAATAATTTCTGGTCATACTATACATGAGGAGCGGTGGTGTAGCCTAGTAGTTAAAGCGTTCGCTCGTCACGCCGAAGACCTTGGTTCGATTCCTCACATGGGTACAATGTTTGAAGTCCATTTCTGGTGTTCCTCTCCGTGATATTGTTGGAATATTGCTAAAATCGGCGTAAAACCATTTCTGGTGTCCCTCTCCGTGATATTGTTGGAATATTGCTAAAATCGGCGTAAAACCAAACTCACTCACTCACTTGAACCCACACGTCGTGGTATGATGGCGTGCAATCAATCAGGTTACCGAGAATGACCACCCAATCCATTTAGTCGCTTCTTGCGACCAGCAATAGACTGCTGTGCACCTTGTCTAACCCGGATGTCAGAGAGAATTGTGCAATTACGTGCTTGGTGCCCATGAAACCTCCTTGTTTCTAAAACATCTACTGAATCGATAATTGCTTCGGTTGTTTTTGTAAAAATATGTCATGAATGCAATATTTAAGCGAAATATATTTTGTTCGACGAGGACAGAAAGACTGAAAGGTTAAATAGCGAGAAAAAGCGTTCGAACGTGAATATTTCAAAAGATTGCCAGCTTCGAAACCCATTTACGAGCCTCGCTTTGTAACAACGCTTATTAGATACAGTTGCCAGCATGTTCTTCAGCGTGGCCCGTTTTCTGATATTTCTAGATACTGGTGTTTGTTATTTTACTGGCTGTAAGATAATCAAATATATCGGTGAAATATATCCCCTATCGTCGCTGAGTCACTAATAAGGGATACGAGTCAGTCGCGATATCACATATTGTTCAAGGCCACTTCGTCTGGCTAAAGGTCAGGATCTTCGACACGGCATTACCTGATCAAGGCAGGAAGAGGCCCATGACGGAGAAAATGGCGGCGGTCGAATTTCGATGCAAGTATTCATACGCGCTAACAACTGCCGTATTTTGTAATTTGTTTGATTTATATGCATTCTATATCTTGCTGAAAGGTATGAAATATGTGATTCTTTAGCTCTATAGTATTAAATATGATTTACTTTTCTTTTTTATTATAGTGTTAGTTTTTGATGTTTGAACTATTTTCCATCTTGTACTAGTATGTGAACCTTTATTTTTTAGTGGTTTGCGCTTATAAGGGTTTCGCGTTTCGGAGCACTTAGCCTGAGAAGTACGTTATAATATGACTAAATTAAACAAATGAAACATAATAAATATGCCGTTTAAAGATAGTTCTCACATACACTGTTTAATTTCGCCACTCGTGAGCATATAATTTTTAACTATGCAATAATTAAATGACCTCTACATCGAATTCCTTGAGGCCAGGTTGGCCCGTTTCACAGAACTACCAAAGCTCTACGACTGCCTTAAAACTCCGTGCCGTGTTTATAGACTAACGATAGTTTTGGTGCTAAGACTGCTTTGTGAAACCAGCCCTGGGATATGAAACGTTTTCAACATGGAATGACCTCAAATGTGTAAGTATATAATTGCATGCATGCATGATAACCGGCTTTGAAATAAGAATGGTGGTACGCGAGGTGATGCTGCAGAAATTCTGCCGGGATAATCGATTTAAATGAAAAGCTTTGATCGTTTGTTGTTTAACGCCGCACTCAGCAATATTCCAGCTATATGGCGGCGGTCTGTAAAAATCGAGTGTGGACCAGACAATCCAGTGATCAACAGCATGAGCATCGATCTACACAATTGGAATGCGATGATAAGAGATCTTTCATGTTAACCCGGTAGTTCGACATCACGCCATCTTTAAAATCTGCAGCTGCTGATATCAAATTCGCGTTTGAAATACAACTAGAGCACACTTTGTAAGCTCTGAAGAGCAGGAAAATTGTTATTTTATTGGAGGCATCAGTCAGGCTTTAAGTTCGACTTACGGGAAGGTGTAGCATTTGCAAATCCTTCATTCTTTCAATTTACACCGTCCAGCAGGTGGTATATCTGTTATTGCATACAGGATGGAAAATAGTTCCAACTTTAAAAACTAACACGAAGATATAGCAGAAAATGTAAAACATATTTGATACAATATAACTATTACTTACAACCATGTTGTCAGCCCCTTTCCCTTCTACTATCTGATACTATAAACATCGTAAGGTGCATTCATAGAATATCGGCACTTTTATCGCTGCTTTATGAAGTGACGTTTGTATAGTTTATCACTGTATCCAAGTGACGTTTGTATAGTTTATCACTGTATCCAAGTGACGTTTGTATAGTTTATCACTGTATCCAAGTGACGTTTGTATAGTTTATCACTGTATCCAAGTGACGTTTGTATACGTTTGTATAGTTTATCACTGTATCCAAGTGACGTTTGTATACTTTATCACTGTATCCAAGTGACGTTTGTATAGTTTATCACTGTATCCAAGTGACGTTTGTATAGTTTATCACTGTATCCAAGTGACGTTTGTATAGTTTATCACTGTATCCAATTTACGCACCATCCTAGTTTAATGCATTGAACCTCGTTAGCAGGTTTGTTTTTCATTTTTGGACTATTTCTGTTCTTATTTAAGACACGCTGTAGCAGAATCATATTTGTTCTTTCTGTCTTTCCCTAATGCTCACTAGATGTCATTGCAGCCTAACCCGCCATAGACTTGAAAAAAACCCCATACACTGCGGCTGGCTGGTCGGTAAAAGTATGGTAGACTATATAAGTGTATTAACACAATGTATTACTATTGGCGTTGCTTTATCACTATCGATTGACGTGCATGATATAATATAATTG